GGGGGGGGGAGGGACAGGCGCGGTTAGTACACACGGCGACCGGTCAGGAAGCGGGGAGCGAGGCAGATGCGTACGGTAACGTTGCGGATCGAGATCATGTTGACTGCGAGAGGAGGAGGTGGGACAAAAGAGAAGGGAAGAGGCAGAAGCGACAGGCAGAGAGCGATGGAGTGGGCAAGGTGGCACACCCTGCCAGCAGAACCGCCCTTGTTGTATGTTCAGAGAAGAGGCGAATCGGCCGTGAAAGCGAGATCGTGTCCACCGGCGAGGGGAAGGCAGCCGATACGCGCGCGATCCCTCGCGCCCCCCCCCGCCCTCCGCCTATGGTACTTCCTTTGCCCCGCGGCCTGTGCATCGTCACCCCACCATGTCCAAAGGAACTCCCTCAACCGGGTGTCTGGCCAGACACGCTTCCCCGACCTGGATGCCTTTTCAGAGGTCGCCGGAAGAACCTTTTCCAGTCGGGCAACGGCCGTCGACACGGCCCTCACCGCGGCCGTCGCGGCTAAGAAGGCCGCGAATTTGGTCAAGAAGGAGCGCCAGCAGCTTTTGGAATCCCGGAAACTGGAATCAGTACGTGGACTCCTGTCTCTGCACCCCGCCCCTGTCCTCCTGTTCTTGCTCGGCACTTCCTCCGTCAACAGCCGACTTACTTTGGATGATGATCATGCCTGGGCAGGCTCTTCGCGCACGGCTGGCCGACAAGCTTCAGACCTTGAATGCTTTGCGCTCCAAACGCCAGGTAATCGCCCTCCTCACGGACTGGCCACAACTTCTTTCCCCTCCCCCTCTCCATTTCGCTCGCCACGCATCCTCGCCGTTACTTACCCCGAGAGGCAAAATGTCGACTGGTGTGCAGTCCCTCCTTCAGACCCAGGCGACACTGCGAAGCCTAGCACGGCTAGCCACCCCCTCGGGCGATGGCGGCGCCCAGGTGGTCTCGTCGGAATGGGAGCCGGTCCAGCGGCGGCCGGCCCATCCGCTCCGCGCACGGGCCATGGTCAATCGAGCCCGAGCCGTGGCACAGAAGAAGCCTTGAGGCTGTCTTTGGCGGCTTCCGAAGTGGGAGAGCCGAGGACGAAAAGAATGAAAAGCAACAAAAGACCGCAAAGAAGTCGGCCCAGATGCCTCGGGTGGATGACCTCCCCCCCCCCCCCCCCCCCCCCCCCCCCCCCCTTCGCCGCCATCGCCACCACCTCCATCCAG